CTCTTATACGGGGATCCCCTGGATTAGCCTGGCGGATTCGATCACGCTCCTCTGCGAGTCCCGCCGGACGAAGTCCATCGGTTCTGCTAGTAGTCATATAAATAAACGATATGTCGAAAAGTAGGCGTTTTTAGTAATCAATGCTCGAAGCTCGGAGGGAAAATTTCGAGCTTTCGGTGTCTGTCAGGCTACCACATCAGTCGTAGAGGATTAAAATTGCCCTTTTGATACTAGCTGTTATGGCTATATGGATGCACCCTTTCCGAACTTTTTCACTTTGTCTTTCATCTCCTTTAAAACAAGGACCGAGAAAGCGTTCCGGTTTTGGTTGAGTTCTGCACGAGAAGCGAATGTAATGTCAAAACCCTTCTCGCAAAAGAACCAAATGGGAGGAAAAATATTGAGGACAGTTTGGACGGGCACAAAATGCGAACAAAACTCTCGGGAACGTTCCCAAAAAGAGCCAAACGGCAAAACTCTCAAAAAGGTTCCCAAGGAGGACAGAAAGTATCGAGAACGCCTCAAATAAGAACAAAAGTCTGGGCAACCTTCACCTAGAGAACACAACGACAACAAAAGAACTTTAACTTTGAGAACGATAGGGGATTCGTTTCAGTAAGAACCTTGATTGTTAATTTAAAGCCAGATGGCTTATCATTAGGGTGAATTGTCCATTTATTTAACAATTTTTCATTTTTGTGCCAGAAAAGTTCGTTTCTTAAGTCTTTCGTTTACTTATAATAATACATAATAAAAGGTTGGGCCGTATGAATAAAAACTAGGCAACTAATTTTTTCTTAAAATTTCAGACTACTCGATTTATGCAAATAAATTTAAGTAAAAGGTCTGAAATTTTACGAAAAAGCCAAACATATTAGTGTTTAATCGAGCCTCTCCTCACACAAAGGGGAGGGACCTTCAGTTTTCCGCCGACTCCGACCGACGATTGTATTTTTATGAGATGCTGTTTTTCATGGCAGAATACACAAGATTTGCCATTGCCTGCCGAGGGGCGACCGCTAATAGAAAAAAACTTTTTATGTTTTATTTCTTCATTTCATTTCATTTCTTCGCGAATAGTTCAGAGAAGAGTTGTTTCCGTTTCGTTCTCTGTCAGAACGTTCTTGAGATTTTGATTCCCAAAAATTTCTTCGAAAGAAAGTTCCTTGTCGTTTTGTTTTCCTCTCTACGAAATGTTCTCGAAAAAATTGTTCGCAATTCGTTCGCTTTGGAAACGTTTTTTGCCAGAAGGTTTCGGAGACTTTTGTTTCCGCTTGTGAAATTTTAATTTTGTCTCCCCCCTCCAATAATTATGTTATTTGTTTGAATATCTAGGTATGCCAGATTAAAATGCATCTTTGGTTCTAGCACGTCGAGATTTTTGTATGTATATTTTAGGATTTTAAGCAATTACGAAACATAACAACAACAACATGGGAGAAAAGCTCAGAACTAAAACTATGAATTCGCCTTAACCATGATTTATCCTTTTTAGAACAACTGTGAAAATCTCCAAACATCAATGCAATTCTCCTTAGACTTTAATGTCAGAAATAATTAAATTGTTTCGAATTTAAAAAATGCACGCACGTAAAAACTGCTGTGGGCAAAAAATTATTTTTTCACACATACATCCTGCATAAAATGACTTGCTCAAAAATCAGACGCGAGCTCAAGTGTAAATTTCCACCATGTCCATGTGAAAAGTGCTCGAAATTTCGCGGTGATAATGGCATCGGTCCAAATTCGACAAACAGTTGTTCTGATATTCCACCAGGGCGGCCAATTCCGAAATATAAATTTCAGTGCAAATGCCCTTATGAACCGGAAATAATTGGCCCAAAATATGAAAGAAAATGTCCACCACCGCCGCCGATACGGACGCAGTTCAGACGAAGCAGCGATCCCAAAGGAAATTGCCCGGAAGATGATTGTAATACGGGCAAAGGTTGTTGCAATACCGGACGCAATTTTCTTACTTTCATGATAAACCTGATCGGTTTTGTTGCGTAAGCTTGGCTCTACATACATATGTACATATGTAGGCACATACATAAGTATCGGTGCATATTGTTATCCTTTGCAGATTGGTAATTATATGGGCTATTGCATTTTGGCTTTGCGTGTTTCAATGGACAGTTATCTTAAGCTTCAAAGTTTATAATTCAGACAGGTATTTATGAATATATATGTATAACCTTTGAAAAGATTTAGCTAATTTTTGCAATTTTTAGGACCACACAAGTCGCAGTTGCGATTGTAATTATTATACTATTCCTACTGATTCTGTATTCTGCCACATTGAGAGCAATTAGAAGGGCTTTTTCTAAGCCAAAAGTAGGCAAGCTGCCACCCGCACGTGCACCTTCTCTGTCTCCGCAAAAATCACCAAAAAAAGAAGAAACTTCCAGTATGTTTTCTTGGAACTGGAGTCGAACGAAAGAAAGCACAAAACCTCATACATTCTGGTTGCCTTCGTTTAGACGGGATACTGTACAAAAAAACGATCAAATGTCTTCCTCTTGGATGTCTTTTTTTACTTGGGTTCGATCGAAAAAAACAGAGGCGAAGCCAGAAACACACTTCTCTTGGATGCCTTCATTCAAATGGACACAATCCAAGCAGAAAGAACTTAAGAAGCCTGAGGCGCGCTCTTCTTGGATTTCTTTGATTAAATGGCATCAGAAAGAAATTGAGCCGCCAACAAAACAGTCCTCTTGGGTGACTTCATTCAGATGGACACAATCCAAGCAGAAACAAGTTCAGAAGCCTGAGGCGCGCTCTTCTTGGATTTCTTTGATTAAATGGCATCAGAAAGAAATTGAGCCACCACCAAAACAATCCTCTTGGCTGACTTCATTTTCATGGTTTCATTCAACGACGAAAGCAACGGACAATTTACTCAGGAAACATGAAACTCATACCATTTGGTCACCCTGGACATTTGATTGGTGCCATTGTGCCTCGTACAAGAAAGAGAGTTCTTCCTCATGGATGCCATCGTTTATGTGGGGTCAGTCAGCGCCTAATAAGAAGACTCCTAGTAAAACAGCTTGCAACAGATCGCCTGACGAAATGAAAAAACAAAAAGTTACTGTTACCATAACCGATGAAGAGGCACGTCAAATTTTCAAACAGTCGAAACTGTATGCGATACCAACAGAAATGAAACAACCGCCGGCCTTGATAATCTATTTAAGAGATTTGATACAAAGGAACACTGATTAATTTTTTAGTCTCAGGAAAAAAAAAATTTTAAATAAAATGTGTGCAACTTAGCAAAATTCTTAAGTTAAATAAATGTGTAAATTTGTATTGTGCAAAATTATTTAATATGAAAAAAATTTGCCTTAAAGCCGCATTTTTCACTTTAATGAAATAATCAAGGCGAATTAATATAAGATGATAGCAGCAGTACAATGACAAAAATTTACATGTATTTTGTTTTTGGTTTGGCGGCATTAACTGTCAAAATCTGTACGAATGTGTGTGGAAATTCAAACAAATCCCTGCAGCGGAAAGTACTAATACATAACTAGTGAAATCACTCGCAAATCAACCACCCATGCTTTCTTCTGTCGCATTTAATATGGAGTTGTCCTAGGAGGTGACAATTGACTCCCGCCCTAGCACTTGTAGTAGTAACATGTAGCCTGTAACCGAACCGCGTTTTTTCTTTTCTTTTGAGGACCGCCAGAGGGCGCTTCCGTACATTTTTTGGATTTTAACGCCTTTTTTCCGAAAATCGACAACATTGTTGCGAAAATCCACGAATTTTGACTTTCTGATAATGAGATTTAAATTTTTAAATAAAGGAACACTGATTAATTTTTTAGAAAAAAAAAATTTTAAATAAAATGTGTGCAACTTAGCAAAATTCTTAAGTTAAATAAATGTGTAAATTTGTATTGTGCAAAATTATTTAATATGAAAAAAATTTGCCTTAAAGCCGCATTTTTCACTTTAATGAAATAATCAAGGCGAATTAATATAAGATGATAGCAGCAGTACAATGACAAAAATTTACATGTATTTTGTTTTTGGTTTGGCGGCATTAACTGTCAAAATCTGTACGAATGTGTGTGGAAATTCAAACAAATCCCTGCAGCGGAAAGTACTAATACATAACTAGTGAAATCACTCGCAAATCAACCACCCATGCTTTCTTCTGTCGCATTTAATATGGAGTTGTCCTAGGAGGTGACAATTGACTCCCGCCCTAGCACTTGTAGTAGTAACATGTAGCCTGTAACCGAACCGCGTTTTTTCTTTTCTTTTGAGGACCGCCAGAGGGCGCTTCCGTACATTTTTTGGATTTTAACGCCTTTTTTCCGAAAATCGACAACATTGTTGCGAAAATCCACGAATTTTGACTTTCTGATAATGAGATTTAAATTTTTAAATAGCCTAAAATGTTCAGCGTTAATGCCAAAAATGGATTCCTCGACCCCAAAAACCTCCAGATACACATTTTGGCTAGTTTTCAATACAGCTGTTTCAACAGGTGAGCCACGTTTGGAAAAAAATTGATAGAAAAAATCGCTGGCTCGAAATTCATTTTAGACCTATTGATTGTTTCAAGGCGAGATTGTTTTTTGAGCTCTAGACCGAGGGTAAATAAAACAATTGCATGTCTTATATTCCTTTTTGTTTATTACTGTCACTGTGTGTTTGTGACTGTGCAAATGATAAATTAGGCGTTTTGGTAAAGAATATTCTCGCAGGAATTTAACATATAATTACTTGCGAGATATTTATGGAAGATCCTTTAAACAAAAATTTTGTTCTAAAAAATTGATATTTTGGCCAACCTGTTATATGAGAAACTGTGTTGGCGGCTAGTTAAAACTTAACTTACCGTAAGCAACTTAAAAACCTTGTAGATTTCAGATTCTTAGTTTACGGCCTTACGGAAATTGAGAGCGGCATGCATTTTTTGATGTGGCATTTTAGGCGATAAACTCTCAAACAGCTGAAAGAGAAAATACAAAAACAAAATATTTCCGCTTCTGGCTTAAGTTGACGTGTTGAGTAATCATTGGTGATTCCTTATGGTAAGTTAGTTTAAGTTAAGTCTAGACTAACTGAGCTTTAACCCCGCTAATCTAACAATGCCAGAAAACTTAGCTCATCACTGTTGTGATTTCTTGTGCGCCGCAAAATGTGCCTCAAAAACTTGATTTTAAGTATTAGAAAAATACACACCTACAGTTTTACGCCGACTCCGAACGGCGATTGTATTTTTATGAGAAGCTGTTATTCATGGCAGAAATACACTCGGAGGTTTGCCATTGCCTGCCGAGGGACGACCGCTGTTAAGGAAAAACCTTTTTTCTATATTTTTTGCGATGTTGCTTTGACCAGGGCTTGAACCCAGGTGCTGCGGAGTGGAAGCGCGCACTGCTTACCACTACACCACAGCGGCCGAAAAAGTTAAACTTTCACTAAATTTGATCGTGGCTTTATGGGTACATTAGACTGCATCACTCCCCATACAAACAAAGATCGGTACTGTTTCTCCATTGGAACTATAAAATCTATTATATTTTAAGACATCCACCAATATATTTCGGAAAAATATTAAGATTTAAGCGAGCTGGACCGATTTGAAAATACCTCCAAAAATGGAGATTTTTTTATTAATAAAAATAGTTTCTTAAAGATTTTTTTTTTGATTTAATCGCCTCAAATGACAAAACGGTTTAAGCTTAAAATATTTGCATAAAAAAAAATTGAACGGAGTCGTAATAACGAGATTTTCGATGCTGTTTTTTTTAACCTTTTTCAAAGAGGTATAAGAAAACTTGACCTAAACTCTTCCGATTTAGACTTAATAGGTTTTTTATTTATTTGCTAATAAACTCATTCAAAGGAAGAAAGAGAAAGGTAGGATGAATGCACTTCATTCAAAGTTGAATTAAGATCTGTTGGCATTTGAAAAAAAAAGGGACATGAATGATTTTTTTTTGCACAGAAATAAAAAGAGTGGGAAAAGACCTTCTACTGAGACACCACAACTCTAAATCAGAATAGTTTGGCTGGTAAAAAAACAGCATTAAAAAAGATTTTTAAATATTTGTATGCAGTTTTTTTTAAGCCTAATCTGTTTTGTCATCTAAAGAGACTTTTTTCAAAAAGTTCTTTAAGAAACTATTTTTATTCATAAAAAAATTCCATTTTTGGAGGTATTTTCAAATCGGTCCAGCTCACTTAAATCCTAAATTTTTTGCCGAAATATTTTGGTGGACGTCTTAAAATATAATAAATCTTGTAATCCCGCAACTGTTTTGGTGATGCAGTCTAATGTACATATGCATAATTAGATAGTCTTGTCCATTCAATCAATTTCAGAACTTTATTTCGGCTAATTTTCGCCACTTGTGATTAGCTGCTGGCCCATAGTGCTGTGTTTCTTTGTACTAACTCAACACACAGTTTTAATTGTTTTACTAAATCTATTTAATAAATACTGAGTAATATTTACAATTTAAACAAATACTATACACAGTTCTTAATCGATCGCGATTCGTTAGGAAGCTAAATAATTTACTTATCAAATATAATCGATCATAGCCGTTATTATTTCAAAAGCGTCACGTGCCGTTGGCTCTATAGATGCGCTGGGCAGCAAGTAACCATGCACTCCATTGTCAGCCAGTTGAATAGTGAAGCTGAAGGGTATACCAACTTCATAGGCGGCAAAGGCATCGGAACAACCTGTTTTCAAAGTAGCGTAAAGTCAAGAGAATTGATGAAGTAATGCAAAAAACATTTCCTGTTGACATATGTACATACATACATGCATAGATAAATCCTGCATGCATATATTAGGGTGGGCCAGAAATACATGCGGGGGAAAAAGTTTAAAATGGCAAGCCCTCACCCGCTAGGATTTTGCTATATGGAATAATAATACCCGTATTTTTTGTTAAAAAAATATATATTAAACCCTATGGTATGTATGTATTTTATATGGAGAAAACACTCTTTTATATAAATGGTATAGAATTCTAGAAAAATTCACGTTCAGTAACAAAACCCAGTTCTTTATTTAACCTTTTTTTAGTATCTATTAATTATTTTTATACATAGCTAAAAGCCACAAAAAGTGCAATGGGAGGAATCATAAAAAATCCTTTGAATACAAAAATGGTAAAATAAACAATTGGGTATTATTATTGAAAATCTCATGAAGAGACACAGAGTTTTCGATTGCAAAATATTGTGAAATCTTTGCCATTTCTACGAAAAAATGTTTTTCATTATTTTATTTGTAGAACTTTGAGCGCTTTGAGACATTTTCTTTACCAAAAAAAATACGGGTATTTTTTATTTCATTTAGATAAATCCTACGGGATGTGAGCTTAAGCTTTAAAATTTTTTTGGGCCACCCTAATGCAAACACAGATGTGCATATAAAATGTATTATATGTATAGTTATTTACCAGAGCGATTTTCCACCAGATCACTAGTTGAGTCGATTTTATAGCGTGATTTGCTGCCTCGCTTACGCAAGCCATCCGTTCCCACCATTGCCACATCGAGAAAGTCATCAATGCGTTCGGCGTTGAATGAAGTGTTCGCTTTCAAGGGATATGAAATAATTTGCCCATATTGTTGCAATGAAATGTAGAGCTAAGCAAAGTAAAAAAATGATTTTAAGAATTTTCAATTCTTTTTTGCGATGTGACTTACCTTAATCTGCTTGCGATAATCAATGAGAAATTCGGATAGCGCCTTAGATTCGGGTTCCGAAAACGGTCCTGGTCCGGCATACAATTCATTACAGGGCGATTTCGAGCTACCCCGCTTGCCCCACTGGTAGTGCCAATTACGATCCAAATCCACGCCATAGCAAACGCGTGTTGCTATTTTCTTTTGCTGCAGCCATGTCATTGCTGAATCGATGATTCCATTGCGTCGAGAGATATGTCTTGAGCGCGTTTTTCGCCAGAAACGATCATACTTGTGACTATAAACGTAGCCGTCCGGATTGAGAATGGGCATAAAATACCAGGTAGTATTTTTTATGTATTCATTGTCTATGGTTGTCTCTGTGGGGTAAAGGAATGTGTGAAAAATAATTTTTCAAGGAATATTTGCACTGTACTTTGAATCCATTTTCCCTTGACCAAAAAAAGGAACTCATTCATCTGTGCCCAGACAAATTTTTGGGCTATAATTTTCTCCTTCTTGCAGACTATGGAACTTAATTTCACAAAATTTAGGGCCGTTTTCTAATGTAACCTTTAATTGAAAGCTCCATATTATATTTAAGATTGCAGTAAAATGTATAGTTGCGCCTGAAGTAAAGCATTTCTATAATCGGGTTTTGACGTATGTATGTTTCTTGGCTGTAAACCAATCTAAAACCGACAATCAAATGCTTTAATTTAGACGCAACTATAAATTTGAATGCAACCGTTAAATAAAAAGTGAGCTTTGAAATTAAAGGTTACATGAGAAAATGGACCTTAGTGGATCGCTTTTTGTTGTAGCACTAAAGCCCGTTTTCCCAGTGCGAGTTCACTAGTTATTTGGCAGTTAACTTTCAACTTTAGTACTGAAAATCGAGAGTTATTTACAAAGTTAATTCTCCATTGTTAAAAAATTCGAAACCTGTATTACTCTTCCTAAAATCGCCTTGGTTGAACAACTTTCATCACAGAACCAATGGATCTACCCAGGCGAATCGAATTCGCCTTGGGATTTACGATGAACTGCGATGTGAAACCAGCAGAACGTACTGAGAAACTCTCTCAAGAGTCTCTCGATAATACTTATTGAAAACTTTTCGATTTAGCGCGAATTGCAAAGCTCCTTTCTGAGGCATAGAGTAGATTCTGCGGTGGTAAAGTAAATTGATTCAATGCTCACATGGAATTCGCGATACTGATTTTAGATAAGAGTTAAGATAAGCATTTTGCAGCGCAATACCTTTCACAGTTAAGAGATAACTCGGCTGCTAATTGTAGATATTCAGTACAAAAATTTTAAGTTAAAATTACCCTAAATTGGTTCAGCTTGTCAAAAGAAAAAAAATGTAATAATTCCCGCCGCTGTTATCTCCGCTCCAAGTTGGCAGTCAGGGTCATATCGTTTTCACACAAAACTTGCATTTTCATTGGACCCTTTTTAACGTAGCGATTCCTAAGCCCAGCGTACAATCCATTCCTGGAAGGTTTTGAAGAAGATGCACATTTAGAGAAAGTCCCTGAGTTGACTTCAGTGAGCCCTTTAACATAGTAAATAGTTACTTAGTCTATGGTTAATTTCCGGTTACTCAGACACGTAAGCTCGGCGATTTATTGTAGTATGAGGACTGTGATGAACAGTCTCCACTTGCGTTAGTTGTGCTTTTTTGCACACTATCCAGTAAAACCTACTTGACATTTTAATCGCAGTCTAAAAGAGAGAAAGGTCGAAATCACTTGTTGGCAATGCCTTTTTGAATATATCGTCGCTACCATGTCAAAATATTGAATGTGCAAAAAAGCCTTTTCAATTACGATACCTTGCACATGCGTTTAGAATGATACGCACGTTGGAAAATCGTCAAATTTCGAGTCTTCTTAGAAGCAGAGGGCGGCCAAAAGTGGCCTCGCCGTCAACCCCAGTAAGACAGAACTGACCATTCACAAGAAAATATAAAATCCCCGCCGCTGTTCTTTCCCGGGTTGGAGGTCTGCGCTTACAGCTGTCTGACAGGGTCAAGTACTTGGGCTTGATCTTAGACAGGAAGTGGTCGTGGGGGCCAAACATCGAGGAATGGGCAAGAAAGGCATCAGTGGCCTTGTATTGTAGCAGGGAAGCTATTGGTAAGAGATGGGGTATCTCCCCTAAAGTTGTCTATTGGCTCTACGAGACCGCAGTCAAGCCAATTATGTTTTATGGCGCCCTAGTCTGCTGGAACTCACTAGAAAAGCTAGGAAGCCGATTGGTTGACCAACTTAGGGACTGGACACTCTGAAGTTTTAGGGGGCTTCGATTTCATCCCGAATCGTACGGATTATTGCACCACTCATACGGCTCCTAGTGAGCGCATATTCTGATAGCCAAGCGGCCCCTGAAATGTTATCACCGGATTAAGAGCGGCTGGGGGTGCCATTGATCACTTGCGCTACACTCTTGGATAGATGGGCCTCATGTCAGCTCAGCAAACGCTAGGCGGATACCACGACATGCGCGATCGCAAGGTTCTTTTAGCCAAAGGTGGACCGGGGCGGTCGAGGGCCCTCCTCACACTCACAAGCCACAGCTCTCACTTCTGGTGGGGGTCTTAACGGGTCACTGTCCTATCGGCATTCACGCAGTAAAGCTGAACATTCTACCGGACTCCTTATGTCGCAGTAGCCTGGAAGAGGATGAGGTAGAATCACCTCAACACTACCTTCTTTGGTACCTAGCGTTTGGTTGGAGTACTTTGAATCTCACTTTCTAAATAGCGCCGAGAAGCTCTGTGGCATTGAGATGAGCCGTATTAGTAAATACATAATCGGCTCGCAGCGTTTTAGCGATAAGGTTTAGGGGGCCGTTCCAAAATTGTGGTATCACAACGGACAATCTTATATTGTCCAAGTGAGCTCCGGTTACACGGGGCTTACTGGTATCTGAACGCGTCTCTTATTCGTTTAACTTCATCAGCCAAAGATAAAAAGTTTTGTCATTAATTTATAACGGTATCGGTACAGTGATTTAGATACGCATTCAGTTAAAAGTAACTAAAAATTTAAGCACCAGAACTATGCAATGACTTATGCCACTTGCAAAATAAACGGCTCAATTCGTACAAATTGCTTGTTTTTTTTCTACTCACTATTGCTTTTAATCAGCCGCAACAGTTCACTGATCATCCAGAGCGAAGTGGCCGGTCCAATCCATTCGAGGCCATGTGTACCCGACTCAATGAACACTGAATTCGCCTCCTTGGTCTGCTTTTTGCTCTTCAACTTTTTCTGTGCCACTTGCGTTTGACTAGCAACACTGGCAGCATGATCTTTCGATTCAATCTTCACCACTACCAATGGCCGGCCTTCATAGGAGCGTCCAATGTGTATTAATTCGATTAGTTGTGGGTGGCGCATGCGTAACATTTCCAAATGTGTTATAATATCATCATATTCATAGTATTTATGCCATGACATGGTGGTAAGTGCTTGCTGCTGATGCTTCTGCGGGTATTTTTTATTCTTATGCATGACGGCATTTAAGTGGAACTGCTCTTGTGCCTGCTCATAGGCAATTGCTTTGCCGACATCATAAATAAGCACCTCATGCGCAATCGATTCAAAGCTAAGGCTGGCTTCGAAATCTAGCAATTGTTTTGGTGGCACCAGCACGTCCGTTAGACCTCTGTTGGTACAATAAAGAGAGAATATTAACTAGTGATATAAAGTTTTAAAAATGTTTTTTTTTTGCGCTCACCTTAGACTGGGACCCTTTAGCCATTGGACCTTTATACCATCCTCACTTTTCTTGTACTCCTCCAAGGTGTGCACCTGTGTATCGTCTATTGGCTTTAGCCGCCAAATCTGATATCTATCGTATGTTACTTTACGTGGCACATCCGGATTGACCGTGGCTTGTGATATTGCATTCATAATTGGATTTTGCGTGACTGTTGAAGCGGTGGCATTAATGATGTGATGTGCCAAAATGCCAATCCAATTTTGTGGATTTTTTAGTGGATCGACAATTGTCAAAATTGGTACTTGTGCGGCTGGTGTATGCACTGTGGTTGTAGTTGTGGTAGTCTTGCGTCGACGTCTCGGTTTCGAGTCAAACCAACCGAAGAACCATTCTGGCGATTGAAGGGAAAAGTAAAGTTGAATGAGCGGAGATTTTTTTTTGTTGATGACAAGAAAGCGTAACAATACCATAGGCTTAATGACAGCGTTTAAGATAATTACGTATATTACATATGCACGTACATTCGTTCATTCTTCCATTGAATCAACAAAAAACTGTATAAGTTGTTACTCTTTTTTCTCGGGCAAATTGTGTCACCTGTTTATTGTTGCTAAAATTGTGTGTTGGTTTTGCAATTGAAAGTTTAATATTTTTTTTTTGCAATTTCAATGGGAATGAGTGGTTACTATGTGTAGTTAAATTGCTCCAAGAACTATTTTATTAGTACTATAATTTTTATTATTATTATACAAAACTGTTTACGAAAAACTTTTCCAACAGCTTATGTGCTGAGTTTCACACAAAAAAGTACTTTTTTTAGAAGATTAACAAACAACAATTCATTTAGACCATATATGTATCTATATACATTAGGGTGCCCATCGACATTTTTTTTTAATTTCAAGACCCTAATTTCCTTCCCTTTAATGAGAAATTGCAATTGCCTAGTTTTATAGATTTTTTAAAAATCATTTAGAGGTCGCGACGTGTCATTTTTGGTCAGAAAGTACGGTTTTGTAGATTTATCAGTTTTTGAATGACTCGTTTTTATTAAATTTTAAAGGTCGAACATGTTGTGAAAAGAGTGTTTATAGGCTTTTAAAATGAAAATTTTTTCTTAACTTTTTAAGTTTTGATCATCACTTATTTCTAAAATTACAAAATACATTTGTAGTACTATCTAAAATTAAATCTATTTTATATTTTTTTATATCAATTTTGAATAAATATTGATGAATTCCTTATAGGCGGCATACACGGTGCGTCTGACTCGCGAGTCAATTGTGTACGTGTAGACTCGCCTTCGACTA